CCCCACAGTCTCACCCAGAGAGGCCCCAGCATCTGTGCTTGCCACGCGTGTGCAGTTCATCGAAGGGATGGTTACGGAAGCACCTGGGGTGTTTCGAAGACTCGTTTCTTGCTGAGATCACGTGGGACCCGGGCCATTCCGTGCAGGACCCTCGGAGGGCGTGTTTGATGACAGCGCACTGATTCTATTGATCACGTCACCCCTATTTATCGCACCTTAAGAAGTGAGTTAAATCTTAACAGTACCCATGAATCATGCCCCGCAACTAACTGACGCCCTGGCCGGGCCTGCCCTTTCCCGTTCCTGTGGAAGCAGAGGGGTCGGGCAGCCAGACGTCTAACAAAGTGAAATAAAGCAGCCGATGTGTGCAGAGCCCGAGGGTGTGGGTCCTTGTCTCAGCGCCGGTCTCGCCCTGAGTGTCCTGTCAGACACACGTGACGGGAACCCTCGTGTCCTGTCAGACACACGCGATAGGAGCCTTCGTGTCCACGGCTCAGTGTTTATCTGACCTTCCCCAGGACTCCGACCGCCCACCCCTGTCTCAGTGAAGGTGTTGGGGCGCAGGACGGCAGAGCCCAGAGCAGGTGAGGGGTGGCACCCTCCGCTCGCGGCGCTCCATCCTGACCCCACTTCTGCCGTGAGGACCCCCCTCCCTCCTGGTCTGTGTTGCCAGGACTTGCAGGCTCCCGGGTGGTACCCCGCTATCCGGGCCCCTCCCCCAGCCCAAGTTCCCGCCCAGCCGTCCGCCTGGCCGAGGCTGCAGGTGACGGGAGAGACGCCCGCGTGCCAGGGGACGTCCGGATGCAGCTGGGCAGAGCTGGGGTGTGCGGCACCCGCCATCCCCCGGGCATCTGCCCGCGGACACTGCTCTGTGTGGCTCACGTCTGCGGAGGGAGCAGAGGCTACACGGGGTGTCTGGTAACGACCAGAAGCGCCGGGTCTCCTGAAGATGGGGGATCAGGCCGTGTCCCCCTCTGTGCCGCCGATTCCGAGAGGGTTCCCATTCCTCTCATTCGAGGGGTGCACCCTGAGGCCCGACTCCTCCCCCGCGTGTCACGTGGTCAGGTCAGCTGCAGCCTCCTGCCCAGGACGGTTGTGGGGGGAGAGATGCTCCCCGTGCACATGTGACACCCCCACCCCCACCCCACTGCTGCTCACAGGACAGTGCAGAGGTGGGGCCGGCCCCTCACCTTGGGTTAGGAGTCAAGGTATGAGTTTGGGGGGACAGACCCTAGCAGGGTTCTGGCGGGGCAGCCGGGTCAGGCCTCACCTGGGGCGGAGGGAGGAGCAGGCTCAGCCTCAGGTTGG